TTCTTCGAATGACGTTTGAGTTTCCGTAAAAACTTTGCAACGTATTTAGGTATCTAATAGTTGTATTGACCTTGTGTGTAATAAATTTACTAAATATTAAGATATTAAAAAATCTAGAAAATAATAATATAATACTTTAGGTTTATATATTGAAAGTGGAATTACTATATTTATTATATTTATTATTTATATTCAGTTTAAGAAAGAGAGACAGAGAGTGATAATTTTATTTGGCCTATCTAAAATTATATTATTAAATATACAGGGTGTCAGACTCGTTTGTAGCCAAACTAAAAATTACGGTAGATTGGGTTAAACTGAGAAGAGAAGTCATGTATCGTTGTGCAAAATTAGCAATAGTAATCGCGTAATTGATAAAAACGTCTGGCCGAATGAGCGCACAAGCAGCGGAAGGCCGGACCTGGCAGGCATGCAAAATGGTTTATTTGTTTATATCTCCTAGGACGCGGTAGCGAGAGGTGGAGTCACGTCGTTCGTCACTCGATGCGTGAAATTGCAACATGTTTGTGCAATTTAGTAAATCAGATCGTATTCGTATATACATAAACTACTCGAAGCGTTAGCTTTACTCTTGTTCGTTTTCTTTTACAAACAGTAAAAACATTTTTTACAAACAGTGGTGTTGTCATTTGTCTCATTTGTACCGTACTTATCAGAAATAAGTGACTTTGTACTACTAGGGACCAAGAAATTTATTGCATGTTAACTATCACCATATAATGTTATCTACGCATCGATGATATCTGAGTTTCCGCACTGATAGAAAAAAATGGTTGCAGTTACCTCAATCTCACTATAATTTATAATTATTTCAGGAGCCAACCACAATTTTATAGTTCTTCCAACTATATAAGTTATTTTTGAACTAACGATGTATTATAGTTCTCATAGATGCAATATAATTTATCTTCTTTTTCAATATTTACCTTATGATATCTCGATAACTGTTTGCCGGAGGAAAAGTACAAGGACTTTTTTTACTTGATTCGGTCTCAGAAATATGCTGTTGCAATAGTGCTTCAGTTATTGCTTGTGTATTGTAATACACAAAATTTACATACAACTACCAATTTTATTAATTCGAATTTAGAGTATAAACTGTATGTTTGTTTTCTGTTTCTGTACTGGTGAACTAGTACAGTAAGCTAGAATAAGAAAAATATACTTGTCTTACTCTAATTTATTGCACTAGTTCACCAGTGTAGCAACAGGAAAACAAGCCTTATGAAAATTCTAATGTTGGCTTCTAGAAGTGAGAAAACGCACACTTGCCGTGTTGAGATCGTTTTACGCCAAAACGCCGAAAAGGGCGTAAAACAGGATATGATATACGTATAATCATGGTCGGCCCTATTGTACATAAACGCGTCACCGAGAAATGAAACAGTAAATCTTTTTCGAGAATTTGTTTATAACATACATACAAAAAACTATGCAGTAGAATGCAGAATTCGTAGTTCTCCGAACACTAATAAATCAACCTTCAGTTACTGTTGTTTGCAATTGAAAAAGAAATGAACAAAAAAGAATGTAGGAAACATATTTGCTTTGTTGTCACACAGTAATACATATGATATTATAACTATACGAATTACATGTATAATTATCATTTCAACTTCAGCAGCTCTAGTCTTTCGTAGAACGCGCGAATTAGTGTAATTAAAAAAAAACATTTTCCAGTAGATATCTGTCATACTTTTCGAACCTTCTAATGTGCCACAAAATAGGTACTATTTATGGACTCATAGAAAGAGCGATATCGCTTCGCACTCTTCCTTCCACCTGAACAACATTGTTTGCATAAACATCCTATTCGGAAATGGATATCTTGCACTTGTTTTTAACATAATTAGGTAATCCGAGAATAAATAAACTAAAAAACAGATTAATGTCTAAAAGTAGTGGTAATTTGGATAAAAATACAAGCCCAGGTAGAAAGTTTTTGTTTCTACCTTATTTAAAGTTTCAAAACCAATAAATTGTTAATCGACAAATTAACATTCTTAATTGATTTGAATACCGATGCTTAAACACGCTATTGAGATTCATGGCTCCTCAGAAAGACAGAACAACAAAATTACAGTATACTAATGTAATCCATAACATTCCCTGTAAAAATGATGATGCGTCATGGGACAAATAAAACGCAGACTACATACAAGATTAAAGGAGCATAAAAGGAACATCAAATTGGAGTCGTCTAGACTCTAAACATTCTAGCTAGGTAATAACAAATCATTAAGTTTAATCACACTCTTGACTGGGATAATATCATCAGTTTAGAAAATAAAATGATGCTGAGTTGTTGGACGGTTCCTTTTGATATTTTAAATAAACTAGCCACATCATCAATAAAACAATGTTGTATACAAGCTTATCGTCATTTTACCTTTTTCCTCTACGCGCGTGACTCAGTCTTATCAAATTCGCCGTAGACTCAAGACGAGAAAAAAAATTTTTATTCATTCTGACTTGATTATCCATATTGATGAGCATCATTTTGCATGTGCACATTTATCAATTATTACTCTCAAGTCTTATAGATTGCAGTGCTTTATTTCTTTCATCAGTAACAGTGCATAGACTTCAACAACAAAGTAGCGTGCTAAATAAAGACGTGTAGAGATCTCATTGTGCCAATTGCACAGCAATAGAACTGTGCTAAAGATTTCAACAACAGAAGATGTAAATATAGACGTACCCATCACCTAAATGTAATTAGAAATTCTAATGTTAAATTGGCAGTTACTTATTCTTGACGCGTACAATTACTATTGTATGTACAATAGGGATATTCCGAGGAAGCATTTACACAATAGTTTCCCAATGTGGTAGACTTAGGGTCGAATATTTTGTCATCCACAGCAATGCATTCGGTTCCCTTGGGAGAACACTTGAGTTTAAAACTGTAAAAGTACCAATCATGATAAGTGACACAAATCACAAAATAAACCATTGATGATATAAGCAATAAATAAATAATACTAAACGAAAAATTTTGTCATTTATACATACTTGGGAAGCGGATTTATGTCCTTTCTGTAAAAAGATAAACGTATATACTGTACTTATAATTGTAATAATGTACAACATCAATGATTTTTATTGACAGTATCTGGCAATTAAAATTCTTATTGCGAAAAATATTACCCCAACCAGGATTCGAACCTGGGACCTCCCTCAATCCGTGACGGGCGTCTTACCAGCTCGACCACTGGGGCTGTGATAATACTATTCGCAATAACATATATTAGTTAAGATGTTGTTTACGCGTCTATTTCGACTTTTCAGAACAGCGCATCGATACGGGTTGTCGACCATACACTGTCGATACGCGAGCTGGTAAGACGCCCGTCACGGGTTGAGGGAGGAGGTTCGAATCCTGGTTGGGGTAATATTTTTCGCAATAAGAATTTTAATTGCCAGATACGGTCAATAAAAATCATTGATGTTGTTAATTACTGCTGGCGACTTTTAAGAGTATTCTTAATAGTGTAATAATGTAGTTTCCATCTTATGAATGTGTTTAATTCGATTCGATGAGATTTTTGGTTCAGAACAATTCACTAAGTAGATTTATATTAGTTTAAATATGTCAAAAAGATAAACTTACCCTATACGAACAGCTGCATACGTACAATTTTTTAACAATGTATTAGCCGCATAATCAATGGCTATATTGTGCGAGCAATTTACGTTTGCAGCACCCGTGCCTGGTATCGACCATACGTCTGAAATAAAACATTTTCTTTATTCGTGACTTCTTTCTGATGGCTGTTGCTCTGGCGACGATTTCCTTAAATGCTTTAGTTAAATATGTATAATAATTACTGCACGCTGGTTGATCTAATCCATTATTGAACCAAAAATCGCAGTGAGCTATAGTCCGTTGTATCCCGAGGAACGACGTGTGGAAAGCGATTACACGTTTGGCATCTTTATCGCAAAATCTGCATTCGCAAGGTAGGCCCTCGAATAAGGGGGCTGCTGGGTCGGTACCGATTAGAAGCGGAGGTTTGCCATAATCCGTAGTATCATCTATATTCTTCGCGGCGAAGCCGCTTATATGCGCGCCAAGACTGTGGCCCATGAGTGTAATGTTTTCCAACTTAACACCGCATTTGATTACTGATTTGACGTAACTAGAAGAGAAATGTGTGTACGAATATATATAAATAAACCAAAGAAACTGCGTCTTACAGTTTATTCTAACGCTATTTGCTTGATTGTTTTTTTAATATAATATAACGTATAAAGTTAAACTTTAATTAGCATTATATTTACTGTGCATTTTATATTGATTATAAGTATTATTAGTACAGTGTTATTTGAAAAATAATTTATATCACAGTTACAATTATTTGCACTTAAATTTTTATTTAACCGACATTAAAAATTTGTTTATTTACTTAATCGTGACATCACAGTATAAAAGTAGCAATACCTAGCCAAGTAGTCACCAACTTTGCGTGTGTTTTTTGTTGCAAACGGATACTCCAACAAATTTAGATTACCTAGATTTAAGAAAAATATATTTATATCGGATAGACAGAAATCATTATAACACGATGCATCAGCCCAATCCATCGAAATTACTGTATAACCATTCTACAAAAGAAAAGAATTTTTGCTGTTAAATTCTCTCATTGTACATAACAATTTTTATATTACTTGTAGATGTTGTGATTAGATTTTGGAATTACAGAGAGAAGTGCTGTTTTCTAATTTTATTCTTGTGTATAGGAAATATTTACCTCTACTAATCGTGAAGCAAGTACGGAAAAGTTATACGTTTTTGCACTTGCAAGAAATCCATGGGTCAAAAAGATGACTGGTTTTGATAAATCAATATAACTGCAAATTTCGTTTGCTTTGACAACTTGACCGTTTGTAATATTGCTGTAAAAAATGCAACGTTAATAGGATAAGAAATAAATTGGCAGTGGATATGTGCGAGTATTACCTCGAGAATAAAACTAGCATCACGTTTTCAACACCGAAGATACAGGAATCTAATGGTTTGTTTTTACAATTAATTAAATCTGCAACAAGTATCGTAATTATGGTCCGAAAATATGATACGTAAACTGTGATATTAATAGTCAAGGATTAAAAAGAAA